ACACAGGATTTCAGTTTGATTTTTTGAAGAAACTTTATTAAGAAACATAGTAATATAATACAAAGTCAAAGTTTTCATTAACATGTTTTCATACAATATATTTTGAACATTTTCCAAGGGGAGAGAGAGAGAGAGAGAGAGAGAGAGAGAGAGAGAGAGAGAGAGAGAGAGAGAGAGAGAACAGCATGAAGTTAGATGGGTAGGGAGGTGGAGAGGATCAGGTTTTTTTTTTTTTTTTTTAAAGCCTCTTTATGGCACATTTCATAAAAACAAAGAATAAAAATGAAGTCAAAGTTAGAATAAGATAAAAACACTGGAGGAAGAGTGCTCTCTTGGTGGATTCTGACTTTGATCCGGAACTCACTTAACTTTTTATTAAGTATGATATTTTTAAATACAGTATGTGAGAGGTTCCCCAGTTCATTAGAGATTCCACCCACACTGCCATTCAAGAACCCAGGAAAGAGTGCTGAGCACTCCCAGTGGGCTCTGCAAACATTTGCTGGGGGCCTTCTATCCTACTGCCGCCGGGCTAACATGCTAGGGGTAGGTAGGTAATAATAAAGTACATTGCATTTGTGAGGCTTTTTTCTTTCTTTTTAACGAGGAGTCCACGTCACCATCTTCCTTTATGAGTTGACATAAGGCAAGTGCCACCACACCTAAACCAGACTCCAGGATCTTATGACACAACGTAGGGAAGAGAACACAGTGATGAGGGGACTGGGGACACAGGCAAACAGCTCCTAACTATCCCTCGGAGGAACACACAAGACTCTGTGAAGTCAGAGATGTGTGGGCTCCTTTAACAAGGGAGGCAGGACTGCACTCAGTGGCCAAGAAGCAGGGAAACAATGCCCGGTAACTAGGTGGTAAATGCAGCACAGGAATATGCACGCAGACTAGACACATGATGCATCTGCTTATATAGAATATACAAGCAAAAAATGTGTGTAGATGACATGTCCATGATACATGAAGGCAGCAAGGATACACCCAAAGTGTGTTTAGGGATTTGTGTTTTTACTTCTTGGTGTGTGTGTGTGTGAGTGTGTGTGTGTGTGTGTGTGTGTGTGTGTGTGTGTGTGTGTGTGTGTACCACATATGTATAGGTGCCTGCAGAGGCCAGAAGCAGGCATCAGGACTCTGTGGAACTGGAAGTCCAGGCAGTTGTGAGCCACATGACTCAGGTGCTAGGAACCCAACTCTGTGTTCCGGAGGAGCAGCAAGTGCTCTTAACTACTGAGCCATCTTCCCAGCCCCTGGGCTTTTTTGAAGCAAGGTCTCACATCACTCAGGATGTCCTCAGATTTATTATGTGCTATGTAGAGAAGGATGACCATGAACTCCAAATCCTCCTGCCTCTGCCTTCTAAGTGCTGGGGTTACAGGTGTACATCACCATACCTGGTCCAACGTCTTCAAACTAAACTTAGCTCTCCCACAAATTCAGTCCTTATTTATGTGTACATTCCTAGCATTGAGCACAGCAAATGACATGTAGAAAAGGAGACATATACTCACACTTGCACCATCATTATTCACTTACCAATTCATCCACAGTAACCAAAACAGACAGAGAGCTTGTACTAAGACAAATACTCCAGCTTCCCTAGCAACTGGAGGGCCATGTGACTAGCTTCTGGCCAATGAGAAAGAAGCAAAAATGGCATGTACCAATGTCCTAGATGTTCTTAGAGGGACTGGACTTTGTCTTCCTCCTGCCCTTTCCGCTTTCCTGCTGGCCCAAGGTAGATGTACTGCTGAAGGAACACAGAAGAGGCCACTGTATGTCCAGGGAAACACAGCAGCAGGTTTCCAGTCTTTCACTGGGAGCTGCCCTATCATTCTTCTCTGGCTTGTCATGGCAGTGCAGTATGAAGAGAAACATGCCCCCGTATTATTTAAGCTACTGTTACTTTGACCTCAGTTAAAGATGTGAAACCAGTATTTTAAAAACACCTCTGGGTATTATTACTTTTGGGGTCAATAATTAATTCACGGTATCCAAGGGAGCATGTGGGGGAGCAGGAATGGATGGGGCAGAAAAATGAAGGGAAGAGAAAGCTAGGGTCAGGAGTGCAGTCCGGGCCGGACTAGAGCATCCCAAACTCCACAGCAGAGTTCAAGCTTCATCCAGCAGGACAGGAGAACTACTGAAGCCTTTAAATGTGAAGATAACTGCTTAGTTTTATTAACAAGTAGGAAAAACAAACTTCTCTAGATAATGTGGTCTAAAAGTACCAGACTAGTCTCCAAAACCAGTAAAGAATCTGGAGCTGCTGAGCATATGTACTGGCAATTAATGTCCAGCTACTTAGTAATCAAATCAAATGAAGTTAATCAAATAGCTGATGATTTATGGAGTTCACTGCAAACCTACTGAGTGGCTCAATGAGGTATTTTTTAAAAAATAATCTATGGTATGTTTAAATTAAAATGCTGTAAAGTGATAACAAAGAAAGGATGACAGAAATAATTACAAATAACCACAGATACATATATATGAAGTCAATGACATTTTAAAATCTAGAAGGTTCATCCCTAGGTATGGCTTATGAAATATGGGGATTGTTTCTTTACTATTCACGTTGTGTGCTTCTCCTATTGAGGAGGGAGAAACATGCCACAACCGAGACACTGGAGAAATAAAGCCAGCTGCAAAAGGATGCTCTCACAGCAGCTGAGACAGACAGGAGAGGGAGCGGAAAGAAGAGATTGAGCACTATGCTATCAGCTACCCAGAGGAGCAGGAAGTCCTGGCACGGAGGATTAGGAAGATGGCATGCACGCCGAGTTCGGATTCTTGGCTCTCGCATCATGTTTTGCCATGGTAATGATGCCCACTCCTAGGGCCTCACCAAACTCATGAACCCTAGGTTCAGTGAGAAACTCCATTTCAAAAAATACTGTAGAAAAGATAAAGATGTTGACCTCTGGCCTAATGTTGACTTCTGGCCTCCACATGTGTGTGCAGAGGTGAGCACATACATTCATACATGGGTGAGCACATCTGTATACATATCTGTTCAGGCATGCCCTGACCACACATATGCACACACAGAAATTCTAGTATGCCATTGCACAGCAGGGTGACTACAGATATCTATTATGGCATATTTCAAAAATTTAGTATTTTGAATGTTTTCACCAGAAACAAATGAGAAATGTTCAAGGAGGTAAGTTTGACCTAATTCAAATACTATACAAGATGCACATGTATCAAAATATTTGCCAGGTATAACATGTATACATGTCCATGTATTTGTTGCATTTATTTATTTTTGTGCACATATATATATATGCATATGCTACAAATTATGTGCAAAAGGAGTCACATCTGACCTTCTGCTATGTGGGTCCTGGGGACAGAACTTAGGTCATCAGGCATGGTGGTAGACACCTTGACCTGCTGAGTCTTGCCAGCACCAGTTTTTATAATTTTATACATCAGTTAAAAACAAGTTTAATTTTGAAATTGCCAAACTCTCCACAATCTTGAGATACTTTCTAGAGTAGACCAGAAGGTATCTCATCATGAGTGACTTGGGTGTGATAGCTCTTTTAGTGGCTCCGGTTTCATAAAGGCAGTCTCTAGCCTCAAAGCCACAATAGCCCCTGTGCTCATGTCACACCCATCCATCACAGAACATTGTTACAACTACACACATTCAGAGCCCAGAGTTCTGAAGTGCACTGGAAATCACTCCCCTACTTTGCATAAATGCAAAAATGGTAACAACTACAAAATAGAATCAACAACAACGACAAAACCCCAACTACCCACATTGGTCTATTGACTCAGTATCATCTGCATGTTGCTGAGCATGTACATGAGTCTGTCAGGTACCAGTCACAAAAGAGGAAGTCAGTACAATAACCGAGATCCTTAAACATAGGGAGTTCAAGGTCCAGGGGGACCATTTGACTCCATTAGTCACAAAACATAGTTCAACAAACTAGGAAGTTAGCTGGATGAAAGCACAGAGTGTTCTGTAAATAGAGAGCAGGTAGACATTTGAAATTACTGAAGGCAGAGAAGGCATTACAGGGAACGCTGTTCGAGCTGAGGCTGCTGGGTGGGAAGGAGTTGAGATCGGAATGCAGGGGAGATGATGTGAGGAGAGAGTTTAGAACAGAGGAAGAAGCATGGACACATGGCTCTGCAGAGGAAGGGATGATACTGTTTAAGTAGCTGGAGGGTCAAGGAAAAGAGGGAGGGGGACAAGAGGAGGTATGGAAGGCTGGTGGCAAGCATAGCAGGCGCTCTGTGGTAAGATTATGTGGTAAGATTATCTTTATGGAAAGATCAGTGAGATGATTTCATCCAGACATCCAGAGGCCTGATCCGACAGATGACAATTACCATACACTTTTGGAGGGAAGTTTACAGCTAGCTTGGAAGATGGCTAATGAGGAGGAGAGAATTGCTGAGACACTACATTGAGACCATTGAAATCAAAGATGATGGTGTTACCTACTGATAACATGGGGGTGAGAGGTGAGAGAAGAAGATGAACTGGGGGGATTAAAATAGAAAAGTATAATCAGAGAAAATAGGAAAAACCCTCAATGTACAAGATGTTTACTTTTACATCCCCTCACTTCTGCCCATTTCTATCCTTCATTACGGTTCAGTCTCATATACAATCTGACATGGCATCATGGGCATGTCCACTCCAGTTTGCTCCTAGTCTTGTTCAGACCATCATTTCTCACTTTAGGGTTGTAAGCAGAATACTTATCAAGTCCCTTATATCCTTGTTAATCATCATGCCCATCTTCTCTTCCTCCTCCTCTTCTTTCTTCTTTTTTGTCCTCCTCCTTGTGTGTTCAAGTGTGTATATGAGTACGTGCAGGGCAGAGGTCAATAATGGGTACCTTCTGCGATTGTCCTCTTTGACCTTGGTTTTTTTTTTATTTTGTTGTTGTTGTTTGTTTGTTTTTGAGACAGAATCTCCCATTAAACCTACAGCTCACCAATTTGGCTAAACTGGATGGCCAGCAAGCTCCAGGGTTCCCTCTGTCTTAGCCTCCTGAGCACTAGGATTACAGGTGTGTACCACCACCCCTGGCTCTTGACAAGGGTGTTGAGGTCGGAAGCCGGGTCCTCATGCTTGCCTAGCAAGCACTTTCCCAGCTGAGCAATCTCCCAGCCGTCATCTTTTCTTCTTTAGCCACCAAAGAGCACAGTTCCATTTTACTTAGCTTCTATGGGAATGCATACCATTATTTTTCTTTTCCTTTCTTTTAACCCAGGTTTCTGCATTCTTCTATGATCTACTACGGTGTTCGTTTTTCTCAGACCAATGCCCATCTTTTTTCAGTAATAAGACTACATTCAGATAACAGCAGAGGTTAACAAAATAATGAGACAGTCAGGGGAGGAGTATGACTATACTTTCCAAACTAAGAAGTCATGGAATGGGTATTTGGCTTCAGTAAGGTTGGTTTTTTTTTTGTTTTTTTGTTTGTTTATTTTTTGTGTTTTTGGTTCTGTTGTTGTTTGCTTTTGGGTTTTGTTGCCATTGTTTTGGTTTGGTTTGGTTTTTGGTTTTCTAGACTACACAGAGACACCCAGTGTCGACCTCTGTTCCCTATGTATTCCTGTACATACATGAAAACACAAGGAGGAGGAAGAGGAGGGGGCAAAGAAGAAAGAGGTTTTTTGGTTATAATTTCTCTGTATATCCCTGGCTATCCTAGAACTTGCTCTGTAAACCAGCCTGGCCTCAAACTCACAGAGATCCTCCTGCCTCTGCCTCCTGACTGCTGGGATTAAAGGCACGTGCCACCACCACCCAGCAGCATTAGGAAATTTAAGGCATGTCCAACCTTTTGAAACTGACTCAAAATTATAATTTACAAAGCCCATACTTGAAAACCAAGTAGGTGAACACCCTTCCCCCTCCCACAATGAAAAAAGCCAATGTTTTGGATGACATTATGATTTTGTATAGGGTCACAGTCATAACTACCATTGGCTACATGCAGCCCTTGGCCACAGGTTGTCTACCCAGAGGACAAACTTTGTGCTGTAGCTTATGTAATACATGCTACACTCGAGTGTGATAAAACTTGGTAATCCTAATAATTCCCTCCTGGCTTGTAATGCAATCACATCTAAGAGAGTACAACCTGTAATGAAAGTCATTTAAATCCAATGCCCTCCTTACTGTGCAGAGCTCAAGGAAATCTGCAAAGAATGTCATAATCCACTTCTGTCATTTCTCCTTTGATTCTCTCAAAACTGACCCAAGGGCATGTCCTTACTTGGCAACACAAGGTAGTAAAACATTTAAACATTCAAATTCCCCCAGATTTCCAACAGTCCCCTCTGCTTTGTATTGAGGAGACTTGGATCTATAGCTCACCATATCTTCTTTTAATTTCCCCGTATCACTCTTTACTTGGAGTCTATGTAAGGAGAATAAGCAAACAAAACTTCCACCTGCCTCTTTCTCGTACTCTGGCCCAATCCCTTTCTACCCAGACTTCTTGTTTTCCTCAACAGAGTTCAGGATACTGAGGGAGACATCACCACTTTCCAACTGAAGGAGAAACACCATGCAAAGGCAAAGGTCCATTATGCTAACTAGAAGGTAATGAAGAAAAAACAAGTCCAAACCATCCATTGCTTAAAATTCACCACAAGACATCCTTTATTCTGAAAATAAGTTTGACCCATTCATTTTATTCATTATAGATGGAAATAAATACAACCTGCATATAGGAAAGGAAATACTGGTCTTTGGATGGAAAAAGGCATGTTATTCAGATTATAATGTCTGATGAGCAAATCCATGATGACCATAGCATAAAATACTTCCAAGTGGTTATTTTAATTTCCTTTTCAATTGGAATGACAAGAAAGGGAAATACACATTGCCTCTAAAATTGACATAAAAGAGTCTCTAAAATTCTCTCTCTCTCTCTCTCTCTCTCTCTCTCTCTCTCTCTCTCTCACACACACACACACACACAGAGAGAGAGAGA